TGTAGCTCTCCTTTCATACCATGTGCTACAGTACCTTTGTAGAGTGTACAAGAAAGTTCTTTAGCTTATTCTAAAATTATCTTGGATCTGTGCTATCCAGTACGGTAACCACTAAACTACATGTGGCTATTGGACACATGAAATGTAAATTAGTCTGAATTGAGATTATTATTAAAATTAATTTCACTTGTTTTTTACTTTATTTAATGTGGCTAATAGAAATTTTAAAATTAAATATGTGGCTCACACTATGTATCTTTTTTGGATTTAACAACATTAGACAAAAATTGGCGTTAGACAAAAATCACAATGTGTAAGTCAGAGACCACTTTCTCCTTAGCTTCTGCACTAAAATCCTCTGGAGAGTAGGACTCAGATAACACCACTTGAATTCCAGGTTTCCTGCACAAGGTTTGGGTTAAGCAGGAGTGATGTTAGTACATTCTTTCTGAAGAAAGTAACTGAAATTCAAATAATCTACCAGAGAATATTCTGGCCATGTTGATTCCACAGGTTGGTTAGATTTCTGTAAAAGTATTTTAAGACTGCATTGTAGTCATCTTTCTGTTTATCAGACATGCAGGTTTATCAGTAAGCTAGGACCAGTAAAACCTGCATTTAATAGCTTATTTTGTCTGAAGGACTAAGGGAGCCAGAGTAGATGGGATAAGCTGCAAAAGTGGGCTCCTGTTGGGCAGAAGATAGAATTGACTACAGAGCAGTGTCATCCCCTGACCTTTTCATTTCTCAGTGGCAGATACTGAAAGCATTTGCACAAGAGACCAGAGCTCTGTCATACTTTGATGTTTTTTCCCTTAGCTTGGATTATAGATTTTTATTACTTTACCTTAACCTATGTTGCTAGACTGTGAGCTTCTTGAGGACATGGGACAAAGAATCATAGTTGTCTTTATAGCCCCTATAAAGTATAACAGCAGTATCAACAACTATGAAGTCATAGTTAACTCTCAACTTTTTAGTCTCTCAACTTTTTCCTGTTATGGCATACTTAGAAAATTACAGTATTTGTACCACAGAGAATTTTGGCTTCCCTGTGCTTCTAGTCTATACAACTTTTTTGTATGAATTAGGAGAAAAGTACCCTTTTCTCAAGTTACTTTACCGCCATCTGTTGGAAAATTATTGTAATAAATATGCAGTTCTGTAATGACTATAAGTGATGGCTCCCTCCAGAGCTGTTCCGTGTACATAGTACATAGTACATAGTATATAGTACATAGTTGCTCAGCTGTACATAGTAGCCTTGAGATTACCTCAGGAGCCCACCTGGCCAATGAGTGGGCTGAGGAAATCAATATTTGAGCATACCTGAAGGCACATCAGTGTCTTGGGAAACTAGATACTATGCCAAGGACTGAAGCCTCACAGTACCCTTTGAAGTAGGGTTCTTATAATTCCAGTTTTTCAGGTGAGCAAGCTGAGGCATAGAGGCTAAATAGCTGGCCCACAGTCACAGGTCTACCAGGTGGCTGAACTGGAATATAAACCTAGGCAATGAAATTCTAGAGCCTAGGTTCTTAATCATAGTGATATACTCCTCTTGTAAACCTTTGTTAAACCACACTGGATGCAGCACTTTCCAAGCCCTATTCCTGTTTTCATCTCAGCCCACTGTAAGGTATTTTAGAGCCCTGCCCCTGAATTCTTGAGCCTGTAGCTGTAGTCTTTTTTAGGTTTTGACAAGAGAAGAGTAATTTGTGCTTTCTCCTACTGGTCCTTGTTTCTGTTGAAGTGAATGCCATCCCTTCTTTCTATTTCAGAATAACCTCTGGTCCTCTTACCACCCTGGTGGCTTTCTTTTTCCCACAGTCCCATCCCCATTCTTCATTTGCAGAATGACCATCCCAAACTGCTGCCAGCTCATGTAGGTTGATCTAGTCTCACTTCTAGATTCTCTCCCTTTGTTAAGGCTGCTAGGATTTTATCTCCAGAACTACCCCTCCCTACTTCTGTGTCTGTTCCTTTCTTTAATCCTACCTTTTTTTGAACCCTTAATTGCTGTTCTTCCCTCCAAGTCACCTCTCATTTTCTCTCCAAACTATCTTACTTACTATCTGATTTTAGAAGGAAAGTGCCTCAGGGCAGGGATTGCCTTGTTATGTTGTGAAGCAGTGTCTAAAGTGCTCCATAAATTAGCATCTGTGGAGAGTTTTATACATACTAATTATTATTATTGAAATACAGAAATGCTTTCTGAGCCATGAGGAAGCATCCTAAGATAATAGTCTAATTGCCTGTACATGTTTTTTAAAAAAGAAGAAAAAAGTCTCTCTTCCTGCCTCAGAGAGCTATCAGATCTCAGAACAGAAGCCCAAATCCCAGGACTCTTTCTGGTTATTATTTCAATGCTTTTATATTTATTCAGAGAACCATGTTTGTAAGACAGTAAAATAAGATCCTGTTGGTCATGTGAACCTATTTGGACCACTTATACTGGTCAGAGAGGCAGGAATGGCCCCTTGGTTTGCTTTGGCCCAGAATCTTTTATTTCCTTAGTGACATTTATGGTTAAAGTCAATGGTATTCATATCTCATGGGGTTTAAAGTAAATTTCATTTATATTTATGTAGATGTTTACTGCCAGGATGATCATTTTTTATTAGCATTTTATGATGCAAATGGAGAAGCTTTTAAGACTTGTTGAATTTTAATGTAGACATGTATGTTAGAAGGACTCATTTACAGAATTATTGATCCTTTACAATGCTTGCTTTGAGAATACACTTGGAAGAGTGGTTAGTGAGACAGTTTTCTATCTGTACGTTTGTCTTTCTAAATAACTTGCTTTATAAATCTTATTGTCCTGGTTTTTCTGAATGTGAGATTTATTAGTAAGTGTATTTTGATTAACAATTTAATGAATGATCTTTTGTGAAAAAAATGCTAGTCAAAATAAACTGAAATGGTGTTAAAATTATCATTTGAAGTTACCTGTAAATCTTAAATAAAAAAGTGGTGCTTTTTCAAAGAAAAGAAGCTTGTTGACCACTCCATGCCTGATCATATATTATATATATATAGATGAGATATATACATCACATATATATGAGATGTATATATCTCATCTATATCTATATCTGTATAGATAGATTGTTGGGATTGGGATTGTTTTTTATTCTTTCCCAAACATTTTACTTCCTGCAGCCTAAGACAGTCTTTTAGGCCAAATTGGACTTACTTATCTTTATAGAGCAAGTTGAATTGGGAAACAAGCCCACATAATTTTTAGATGATTTAACTTACTTTGGGGATTGTTTCCTTTTACAGGGTACACAGTGGTACCTTGCTGCTCTAGAAGCAGTTGGACAATTTATGCCTTTAAAGATAAGACCCGGGGGATATACCATCCCCTGGCCTGGTCCTGCTGGAAAGAGTTAATAGATTTCAAGCTGCATAAGAGCTTATGGATCATCTATTCTAGTAGTTCTTAGCTCTGGCTGCACATTAGAGTATCCTGTGGAGCTTTTTTAAGAAGCTCTAGTGTTGGGGCTGTACCCCTTCTGTTTGCAATTGGGGAAACTGAGAGAGGGAGAAATTGGCTTGTATCCAGCCACATACCACACACGCTTAGGTATTATGAAAAATCCTTATTCTCAGATCTTAGTTGAAATGCTGTCACATTTTGGAGTGAGCAGTTATTAAATTAGATCATAAGCAGTGCAGAAAACAGGGTGGGACCACCTGACACTGTCATTGACTTTGAAGTGTCTACCCAGTAATAAAACATATAAAAATAAAAAGCCACCTTCAGTGCCTTCCACCTTAATCATATTGAGGAGAGTCTTTACTGTCAGTTGTGATGAAACCGTAGTGTCAATCTGTTTACATAGTGGGTGAACCCCCCTACCCAAGGTAGGACTTGCTAGTTCAGTTTAGGTGTGGGGAAAAGCTTTTCAGTTAAAGCTTTAATTATATCCAATAGATAGAATGGAGCAGCTAAGCTCTTTTAATTAAGCACTGATTAAATTGGTTTTCCATGATAGTTTTAATTTTCAAACATGGACACTTTAAATTTTTTAGATAAGGGGACAGAGAGCAGCAGTCAGTTATCATTTTCTTTATTACTTCAGTTATTACTGGGGGTGAAGGGTTAGGAGGAGGCACAAATACTGTCATCAACATTTACTTAGAAACTACAGTGTGGGGCCCTTTTATTAAGTGCTAGAAATACAAAGGTTACGCCTATGCCTTCAAGAAGTTTATATTCCTTACTTAGGGAGACTGTGTGTGCATGTACACATGCATATGTGTCTGTTAGAACCTCTTGAGGCTGATTTGTAGTTTTGGTTTTTCTGAATATGAAGTCTAATAAATATATCCTAATTATCATTTTTAACAAATTTCTTTTTATGAGAAGCCAGACAAGTCAAAATATATTTTAGTATGTGTTTATATGTTAATGTACATTGTGTGTATATTGTGAATGGATATATACAGAATGATGAGTTAAAGTGTGATTATCTAAAAGTAGCCCAAGGGACGCCTGAGTGGCTCAGTCGGTTAAGCGCCTGACTCTTGGTTTTGGCTCAGGTCATGATCTCGTGGTTTCGGGAGTTCAAGCCCTGTGTCTGGCTCTGCGCTGGCAGTGTGATCCTGCTTGGGATTCTCTTTGCCCTTCCTCTACTCGCGCTTTCTGTAAATGAATGAATAAATAAATAACCTAGACAAAAAGTGCTACCTCACAGGAAATTGTGAGATTAAGTGAAACAGGTGATGTAAAATGCTTAATATAGTGGTTGGCACATATTTAATGCTCATAGATTCTCATTATCCACATGTTTATTATTCAGAGGAAAAAGAAGACTATGGATTAGGGAGATCAGGGAAGGAGGTAAGCATAATTTAAGTAATACATATTGCATCTTTTCTATTTAAACTATCTTCAGTCTGAGACCTGAATTGCTAATAGCACATACTGTGGAAGATACAATATAATATATATAACTATGTATTAATGATAATGGTCTCTTTTGTTTCAGGAGCTTTATATTGCTGTAGGAATATCTGGAGCCATCCAACATTTAGCTGGGATGAAAGACAGCAAGGTAACTACACAATAATAATGATCCTAAAAGAAAGATTTTTATATTTTAAAATTTTGGTTTCACTCTGTTTCCATATAGTTATACAGTGTATGTAAATTCAGCCATTCAGATTAACATTTCTTTCAGGAACTGAAAGAAGTACAAGCTGCTGTTCACTGAGTGAAGGTGTACCATTGGTAGGAGAGGCAGTGCCATGTCAGGAAAAAAAAGTGTGACCCTGAGTCCCAGCTTTGCTACTAGCTTACCACATGATGTGTCCTGTCTGCACCTCTGTTCTTTGCCTAACACAGGTGTTGGTTGATGATGTCTGAGGTCCCTTTCAGCTCTGAAATTAGTGGATAGAAAATTTAGGGTGAAAACAGTTTGATGAGGTTCTGACCATCTAACTAGTTTATGAGATTTCTCATCCCTGATTCTCTATCTGCTTTACCCTGGTCCCCTAAAAGTCCCACCCTCATATGTCAGCACAGCTCCTCTTCTCAGGCTGTTACTAAAGTGTGACGGACACATTTGGAGTTGGAGCATCTTAATATCTGAGTAATTGTTAAAAATACAGGATGTAGAGGAAACACTTGATTTTAAATTGCTGCTTGGACTATATCGGGAAGTCCTGTGTCATGACTCTGTGAACATATATTTCAGAATATGACACATTAATTCATGCATACGAATGTACAGTTTGAATTATGAACTTAGTCTTTCATGAAGACAGAGATGCTTCTGACACTCTGGCTTTTATGCATTCAGATGGAAGTTTGATATAAAAGGTAATAAAACTTTTAACAGGTTTAACTTCTAACTTGAAAAAAATGCATCCACTACCTCCTTGTAACCTCTAAATGAATTGGCCCAAAACCAGTCAGATTTCACAGTTGGATGGCAGGTTTCTTTACTGAGATATGAAAACAAGCAGTGCCAATGGGGAAAATGTTATTGCTGCATTAAAGAAAAAAAAAACACTCTAGTACAGTAACCTTAAAAAATACTTTTAGCTGGGCCAGTTCAGACATATCTAATTCTGCTTCTCTAAAATAAAAGATTCTTCCTGCCAAGAAGTTCCTGGTAAAAATTGTCATCCCATGCCAGCAGGACTAGCTTGCAGGAGAGATGGAGTAGCTAGTATATGTTAAAGCAAAAAGGGAACAATTGAAGTAAGGTGACCAGTGTTCGGGAACAATCTGTAAGAAGAAATTTGAGCCAAGAGTTTGTCTGTTTATGCAGTCAACAAATATTTATTAAGCACTTAGTTTGTACCAGATGCTGGGGATGCTTAAATGAAAAAGGCATAGCCCTTGTCATCAGTGCCTTATGTGGGAAACACAACAAATTTTGGTTAAGGTCAAAAATGGGATATTAGAGTAATTGGTTTATATCTGATAATCACATTGCATACAAGCTACAGTTTTAATTAGCATCATGGTATAGTTTAGAGAATATGAGATTTGGTCGTTATATCAAATGAGTCAATGTAATGAAAGCACTTTTTGAACTATATATGTATTAATTTCATTGAATACAATCTGTGCTTTAAAAGTTGTGTAAGGAAGGGGAGCATTCTTAAATACTTTAGTGGTTCCTTGCCCACAGTTGTGTGCTCTTGCTTTAAAAATAACTGCTATACAGTAGGAATGAAAAAGCTTTCAGATGATTAAACTGTCAGATGTTTGACTAGGTGGCCTCCAGGAAAATCATTAACCATCGTTAATTAAATAAATCTCTGCTAGTTGCTGTGAAGCAGGCTTACATATTCCCAGAAGAGAAACACCTCCATACAAATCAAATGCTTGTGATTCAAAATGTTAGTCCTTGTGACTTTGGATTTAAAGTTCATATTGAAACCATCATTTATTGTCTTTGACCACACATGTTTCTCTGGAATAGTAGTTACCTGGACTGCACTGTGCTCTAATCTCAGATATTCTGGAATATTTTCATCTCTTTGAGGGACCCTAGAGGAATTACACATATGTCATAGAGCCTATATTTTAAGCCAGCCTATATATCAAAGTTCTTCTAAAATGTGTTCCAGCTGTTTTCATGTGATAGAGTAATAGGCATTAGAAACTTAATTTTACTTCTAGAGAAATGAATTATTATAATCTATTAAAATAACACCACATTAGGGGCACCTGGGTAGCTCAGTCGGTTAAGTCTCCACCTCTTGATTTCCACTCGGGTCATGATCTCTCCATTTGTGATATTGAGCCCTGCATCAGGCTCCTTGCTGATTTTATTTTATTATATTGGCTTCTTGGGATTCTCTCTCTTCCCCTCCCCCACGTGCACATGTTCTCTAAATAAATATTTTTTTTAAAAACAAACATTTTTTTAAAGCAAAAATAATACCACATTAGAATCTAATATTAGAGTCAGTACTTTACTTATTTTGAGAGTGAGTGCACACGTGTACACGTGTGCATGAGTGCAGAGAGAGGGATACACAGAATCAAGCAGGCTCTGGGCTGCCACTGCAGAGCCCCATGTGAGGCTGGAACTCACAAACTGTGAGATGATGACCTGGAGCCAGTATCAAGAGTTGGACGCTTAACCGACCAAGTCACCCAGGTGCCCCTAGAGTCAAAACTTTAATTGCAGTGGTGTTAGAAGCACCTATGGAGAATACCAAACACTTTGTAACATATATGTAAATCTGTTATTAATAAATTGGATAATTGGTAAATGCAGCACCTTTTTGTGTGACTGTTTCTCCTTAATCTGTTACTAATTGGTCATTATAATCCTTCATGTTAAAAATTCTTGTAGGAGATAAGAGGACCTTTTGGTAGTTCTTGTAGGAGACATAGTAATTTATTATATTATATTTGCTGCATACCTAAGGACTTAAACCTTTTTGTTTTAAAGTTCCTTACTAACAGGCTGACTAGATAACTTCTATATTGTAATAAAGACCCAGGATAATAATTTAAAAATAGTAAGTGGAATGCAGTATATGGAAGATAAATAGTTTGAGCTACAAACTATATGAATTAGGGTGTGGATTTGTTCTGGTTTTGTTTTTGTCTTTTTTTTTAAGTTGAAATCCAACATTTAAAATCACAAGTTTAGGAGCACCTGGGTGGTTCAGTTGGTTAAGCATCTGACTCTTGATTTCGGCTCAGGTTTGATTTCACAGTTGTGAGATCAAGTCCTGCATCCAACTCTGTGCTGAGCGTGGAGCCTGCTTGAGATTCTCTCTCTCTCTGTCCTTCCCAGACATGCACATGTGCACATGCTCTCTCTCTTTCAAAAATAAAAAAACCCCGCATTTAAATTTATATATTGTTAACAGGACATAGAAGATATTAATCATTTTATAAGTGAAATAAGCTAAAGGTTGACTAATCATAATAAATATCTAATGATTTAATAAAGTAGACTTCTAACTATCATATTGAATAAAACACACCAAATATAAGGTACTTAATTTTTCATTCAAAGGTTTCATTCAGTGTATCTAAAGTTTTTTGATAAACTGCAGAACTTTTCAGTTACCTTTTGTTTAAGTCAGATTATTGAGGTATAATTTATATATAGTAAAATTCAACTTTTTAAGTGTACTCTACTTAAAACAAAATTCTGTGGTAAAATACACATAAAATTTACTATCTTTACCTTTTTTAAGTGTAGAATTAAAAATTGTGTACACATTGTCAGTGATATTAAATTATTCATAATGTTGTGCAACCATCACCACCATCCAATTCCAGAATTCTTTTCATCTTGTAAAATGAAACTCTGTACCCATTAAACAATAAGTTCCTAATTTCCCCCCATACCTCCCACCTCCTGGTAACCACAGTTGTTATACTTTCTGTCTCTATGATTTTGACTATTCTGAGTACCTCAGATAAGTGGAATCATCACATATATTTGTCTTTTTGTGACTGGCTTACTTCACTTAGCGTATGTTGTTGGTGTTCATCCATGGTGTAGCATATGTCAGAATTTGCTCCTTTTCTGAGCTGAATAATATTCTGTTGTAGCTGTATAACACATCTGGCTTATGTATTTATCCATTGATGGACACTTGGGTTGCTTCCATATTTAGGTATTGCAAATAATGCTACTGTGAATATGGGTGTGCAAATATGTCTTTGAGCCCTGTTTTAATTTCTTTTCAGCATATACCCAGAAAGTAGTATTGCTGGATCACATGGCAGTTCTACTTTTAATTTTCTTTTTTTTTTTTTTAATTTTTTTTTTCAACATTTATTTATTTTTGGGACAGAGAGAGACAGAGCATGAACGGGGGAGGGGCAGAGAGAGAGGGAGACACAGAATCGGAAACAGGCTCCAGGCTCTGAGCCATCAGCCCAGAGCCTGACGCGGGGCTCGAACTCCCGGACCGCGAGATCGTGACCTGGCTGAAGTCGGACGCTTAACCGACTGCGCCACCCAGGCGCCCCTCTACTTTTAATTTTCTAAGGAACTGCCATAATGTTTTCCACAGTGGTTGTACATTTCACATTCCCACCAATAGTGTACAAGAGCTCCAATTCTCCACATTCTTGCCAATACTTGTGGCTATATATATTTTTTAATAGTAGCCATTCTAATGAGTGTGAGGTGATATCTCATTGTAGTTTTGATTTGCATTTCCCTAGTGATCAGTAATGTGGAATGCCTTTTCATGTGCTTATTTGGCTATTTATGTATCTTCTTTGGAGAAGTGGTTATTCAGGTTGTCTTTTTGAATAGGCTTATTTGGGGGTTTTTTGTTCAGCTTAGAAGTTTTATTAAAAAATATTCTGTATATTAATCCCTTTTCCAATGTATGATTTGCAAATATTTCTCCCTTTCTCTGGGTTGATTTTTTACTCTGTTTATAGTGTCTTTTGATTCACAACATTTAAAAATTCCCATGAAGTTCAGTTTGTCTTTTTTTCTATTATTGCTTATATGTTTGATGGACTATCCAAGAAATTATTGTCAAAAACAATGTCATGCAGCCTTTCCTCTGTGTTTTCTTCTAAGAGTTTTATAGTTTTAGTTAGGTCTTATGCTTAAATCTTTGATCCATTTTGAGTTACTTTTTGTTTTGGTATTAAGTGTCCCAACTTTATCGAGTTTTCCCAAAACCATTTGCTGTAAAGGCTCTCCTTCTGCATTCAGTGGTCTTGACACTCTTGTCAAAAATCGTTTGACCGTATATGTGAGTGTCTATTTCAGAGCTCTCTCTATTCTATCCCGTCCGTCTGTATGTGTGTCTTTATGCCAGTACCACACTGTTTTAATTACTGTAGCTTTGTAGTCAGTTTTGAAATCAGGAAGTATGGGTCCTCCATCTTTGCTCTTTTTCTAGATTGTTTTAGCTATTCAGTGTCCCTTGAGATTCCATATGAATTTTAGGATAGGTTTTTTTAATTTCTGCAAAAAGAATGTCATTGGAAGGACAGTTTTGATGGATATAAAATTTAGGGTCAACAATTTTTTTCTTTTAACATTTTGAATATATCAATCAGCTCACTGCCTTCTGGTCTCCAATATTTCTGATGAGAAATCTGCCAATATTGAGGATCCCTTGTATGTAATGAGTTTCATGTCCCTGTTTTCAAGATTCTGTTTTTATCTTTGGCTTTTGAAAGTTTGACTATAATGTGTCTTGTGTGGGTCTCTTTGAATTCATCTTTCTTGGAGTTTGTCGAACATCTTGGATGTTTATATTAATGTCCTTCATCAAATTTAGGAAGTTTTCAGCCACTGTTTCTTCAATTCTTTCTGCCTCTTTTTCTTTCTTCTGGGTCTCCCAACAATACATATTTTTGTTTGCTTGTTGTTGGCCCACAGGACCCTTCACTTTTCTTTAATCTTTTTCTTTCTATTCTAAGGACTTGATAATTTTCATTGTCCTACTTTCTTTTAAAAAAATTTTTTTTAAATGTTTATTTGTTTTTGAGAGAGAGACAGAGTGCAAGTGGGGGAGGGGACAGAGAGAGAGGGAGACACAGAATCCAAAGCAGGCTCCAGACTCTGAGCTGTCAGCACAGCCCGATGCAGGGCTCAAACCCACAAACT